ACCTCGCCACGAAAAGTGTTAATAAGGATGTTCGCTAGTAGGTCACCGGCGCGGGCGCAGCGATTCAATGTAAATGTCCGCCGCGACAACACTCTCATCCTTTATAAGGTGACCACACTTTGAATATATTTGTAGAAACGCTGGTTATATAAGAAAGGCTATAATAATAAAAGGGATAAATATAAACAAATAGTATTACTGCGTTTCGGTTTTAAAAGGTAGGGGTGTTGGTGAAATTATAGGCACATGGGACTTGTTAGCTTGTGTCTCAAGGTGAAGGACGCAGTGGCAGTGTCCCTCAGGTCTTTGCGATTTTAGGGCTCTGAGTGGCACTGCAACTGTTATGGACAGGCGTAGCGCTTAAGAGTCGATACTACCCCAGCTCGGGTTCAAATTTTTCCCGGTTACTAATACGGTTAATTTTCGGTCGAGTGACAGGGACACTGATATAAATAGAACTGAACTGAAGTCAACGGTTCAGTTGATATAAAAAAGAATCATTGGTATATATAAAGTACCTATTGATTACAGCGGTGATTTTGTAAAATATCGAGGTCAGTTCGTGTATTTTTGTAACGTAAAAATTTTTAGAAATCGTGTGTTCACAACGTATAGTAATTAATCATAATCAGTGTATACGAGTTTACTCAATTTTACTATATATTTTTTCTAAAGTGATTGATTCAACAATTTCACTGTTATGTGGAATCAACCAAAGCCCGTTGAGGTTGTAAACACACGGCTTGTCCGTCCTGTCACTTGTTATTATAAAAAAAGTCAGAACACAGTCTACCGTTGAGAAAGAAGATTATAACTATTGTTTATCTGTACTTTAGAACCAAAAACGTTGTTTTTTTTTATCGCGAAAACCTAAGAACTCGATATATTAACTTCTGAGTTCCTATTCCGAACGAATAAAATGCAAAAGATAAACGTGAACAAATGTTTATTAACAAAGGTCACACCTTACAGATTCTTACTTGTACTTCTCAAGAGAATATGCTTTACAAGTTCAAGCAATTTGACTACTTCAAGTGTAATTTGCTTGCCTATGAAATGAAGTAATTCTGAATTCGATCTTAAATGATGCAGTAGTAGCAGATCTTAGGTGACAGATCAAAGACACATCGAAACTACTGCTTTTTATGAATTTGACTCAAAGCATTGCGAAATTATCATCTGCCGTCGCTTACAAATCAAGTGATACACAAAATTGACGGCCTTGCTGGCCCAACGGTTTGGACTGCGGACACTGGACGAGGAAGTCCTGGGTTCGGTTCCCGATTGACCAATTTGAGAAATGAACTTTTCTAAATTGTCCCTATCTACCGACCCGAGAGATAGGGTTTTCCGGAGAGACTGCGGGCTCGACGGCAAGACCAGGGGGTACGGCGGGCGTCCGGGCCAAGCCCTCCGCCAGTGATACGCCTTTGCGTCTCTGGTGGACCCGGATTTGGGTAAGGACTCGCTGGAGTTTGTGGTTAGCTGCAGAGACGGACATGTTTGTCTGCCCCGGTTTTGCTTGTGCCGGGGCGTCTGTCTCGTGAGCAGCTAGCGGGTCTTAGTAGCGGTCTAGTTGAGGGCCTGCATGCGAGGAGACGCGCGGGACACGTGAGTTGCCCTTTAAGTTGAAAGCTATGTCCGGACATTGTCGCAGGACACTGCGATTAGCATCTCCGGCACTAGCCCGGAGAGCTAGTAGAGGATAAGCTAGATATCTTCCGGTCCCTCCAGCCGCTTAGATTGTTGGGAACTGGAGAGACGTCGTTTTTCGGCGTCGGGCAGTGAGCGTGCATTACAGCTCCGCCACCAGTGAGGTTACTTGTTAGTGGACTCAGAGTCGACGGATTAGCGGTGGCAACTGCAAGTTGTGCAATGCGCAACGGGAAGTAAGCGTGCCTACAGCTTCGGTACCTATCTGGAAAATAGGGAGGGTACCGTACGTACACCCGGGCCGGCTCACCCGAGGCACTGGCCTCTCGAAGAACCTGATGAAGTGAAGTGACAGAGGTCGGTGACAACCCTGTGCACTGGCTGATCTGGGGTCAGAACCTGAACTTATAAGGTTCCTGTGCGCGCACAGGTTATAGTGTCCTTCTCGTGTAAGGGTAGGTAGGGAGGGTCACTATAATCAAAACTAACGTAGAAAGATATGGTGCTTTTCTAAATTGGTTCAGATCTGGGTGTTCTAGGTGAATTCGGTTGGCCTAGTTTTCAAAGTACAGGACATTCCCTAGTTGGAGACCAGGTAACAGGTGTGGTTGTCTGGTATATTAAAGAAAATAAAACTAAATTTAAAAATGGTGCTGTGGTGTTCGAAATAACATCTTAAGCCGTTTCGTTTACGGTTTGATTTGATTTTTGACGAAATGTTGTTACATTTGCTATATTTTTTTATTCAAGACTTCCCATTTATCACTTTCCTTGTTACAGAAGTCACAACACTATTAAGTTCATCAATAATGATCTTGACCCGATAATCTATAATAAATCATCTTTTTATATCCCCCAATGTCAGTCACGCATGGCAACCCTACTCACCCTTGCGTGCGCGCAGGTTTACTCTTCGTGACAATGTCGTCTTTTGCGCGTGTTTTTTTAACCCTTGAAGGCTGCGTACCCGATAGACCTCGCGTGTAATATAAACAATGGTGCTATAATTATAACTGATTATGACTCTTCGACGACTTACTGTTTTAGTGATTCAGTGTCATAATGTCATTATCGGATGCCAAGGTATTGTTCTAGGAATAACATGACCTCCTTTTAATGACCATTACATAGCCAAATGATCTGATGTATTTGCTGAATTAGATGAAACGTGATCAATTTTGTTCGTCCTTTGTCCTTAAGTGGGTTTTTATTATTAATCATGATCCGCTCAGAAGTTGTTAATTATTGCAACAAATTGTTTGATTAGTAGATACAACAGTATCTACCAACCAACCAACAGGTCCTGAAGTTGTGAACTAAATATATAATAATTTTAAGATAAAACTAGTTCAAAACAAACCCGCACACGAAGTAGGCGATAGGAATATTATTAAACCACTTGTTCGTTTGAAGTAATTACTCAATGCCCGGATATGAATTTTACGATGTAAATAATTCCTCGCGTAACATTGGACTGCGGTGGACTAATGAAAGACAAGGGAAAATAAAATTTGGAATTACTTGACAACCTCAAGTGGGCACAATCAGGAAGCCGTCTCTCTTGTCTGCTATTGCTGCTCCAGACCCTCATTACATTTACGCACCACCATTAACCGTAATCAACCTTCCATCACACACGGAGATGGAGCAAATTAAATGAATCACTCGTCATAAAATTCCGCGCAAAAGCAAAAATAGCGGTTACAACCGAAGCAAATGAAAATTGAAAAATTAAATAAAGAATACAAATTCGAAAAACTCCAGATTCGATAATGGAAATGTAAGCAGACATTTAAAATCGGATTTCGAAACGGAATGACAAGTGCGGAAATATTCAGAAACTCCCCTCTGTGCATTAGTTTCCCCACGCACGTCGGCGAGAGGCGAGTGCGTGCAACCCTTCATTACAACCTTCGACTATTATGGCGCAATCAAGCACTCGGCACATACGCGAAACTGAGGAAACAATAAAACAAAATTGACGTATAAAACCACTCCTTGGACTAATTCCGAGTCGAGCCTTTAGGCCTGTTGTATAAAATACATTAGACCATAATTCTTGAGCGTAGTGCAATGTTTTGTTTCCAAATGGCTTGGACACTCATAAAATACTGTCAATGTATCTGTTTGCGCTAGCTTAGTTTCTACCTGCTTGACAGATAGTTTCACATTTTAGAGCATTCTGTGAAAAGGTACTAAAATTGTAGATGGCAAAAATACAGTTAATTGGAGAGTGTGTGCCTAACGTAATTCAAAATTTTACACACAAGTTGACGTTTCTCGCACACACATTTCATGTTAGGTACTATTGGTATAGAATTTGAAAATTGGCTATAAAATATCATGAGTGATGTTAGTGCTTGCCCTCATAGACACGGAATTACTTCCTCCTTACTAGCTGAAAGGCAACGGTGATAATTATTGAGGTGTAAAATTTAGAGTGATACCTACAAGTTTATTTTCTGCATATAGTGCCGTTCTAGATGAAGTGGGCCGTTTAATATCAAATTTTACGGCCCATGTTGCGACATGTTTGGTTAATGGATTTTGCATCTAGAAGCCTTCATGTGATCCCCGATATAAAGCTCGATGAAGTTGATCTTAATTTAATCGATAAAAATGCACAAGCCCGCCAATCGAATCATATATTACGATCAATTAAATCGATAACGAAGTTTGCTAGTGACGAGGTTTAAACTCCAACAATATCGTTAGTTAATTATGGAGCTGTAGAATTCTTATTTGATGCTGTTTTATTTACTTAAAAAGATACGAATGGTTTTTTATTTGTTTTTTTTATTACTGTTCTAAGTGTGCAGACTTTTGATAAGAATTTATTTACCTCTGACCTGATCACTTATCATAATCATTGCCATTGATATAATAATTTATTCTTCTATTTGTTACAAGTGACAATGAGTAAAGGTCAGTTTTTTGTCAATTATTTATTTATCAAGTACCTAATTGCTCATCCACAACGACATTGTGTTATTGGCCTTTTTTTCTGTTATAACAGCCTACGACATAGGCAGCTAAGTACAATTTGTTTACACTTATTATTTTCTATCTTGACTAGGAGGCACAAACTTATTCTGAGATCAATGTTTGGTTTTAAGATTGTTACCCGCTTATGGGTAGTAATTCAGTACGGATGCATAAATTATTTTACGGGTATGTGTGGTTTATGGGCACTAACGTTTTTTATGGCTTGTCATGTCGAGGCTGCAATCATTCCATATTAGAGCATCGGTAGCGATGTCCTAGGACCTAACTGTAAATGTGTTTAATTTATGTATGCATGAATTCCCTGATCCCCAATACTTGTAAATAAAAAACACGGTACTTACTGTGAGGGGGTGTTAGTGAAAGTGCTGAGACTGCAGATGGTGGCACGGGCGGGAACATGTCCTGGTGCGGTGGGAACATCCTCGGCGGCGGCGGGACTTCTGCTTCAGGCTCCTCCTGCTCCTGCTTTGGTGGTGACCGCGGCCTTGACAGGCGAACGGCTTTTAATCCCCCACTAGGCGAACGTCGCATTGATAAGTTTTCTGGGGTGTCCGACTCTCCAGAACGCCGCCTGGGTCGAGCTTGTTTACGTCGTGGTTGAGGGCTTGCGGGGCTGGCAGGCGGCGAGGGCGCTGGAGGGGTAGTCTGCACCGGACTCCTCGCCAGCGGTGTCGGCGGAGGCGACCTCGCCTGCTCTTCCCGATCCTGGTCAGCCAGCCCTCGGACCTGCAGGGATTCTCCCGCGCGAATCACGGTCCCCAGTTGTTCTTGTGCCACTGATACCTCGCCTCGGTACATGAAGTCTACCACCGCCTGCACTTCCCATCCTTGAAAGTCTTTTAACACGATCACGGGATGCTTGCACGGATTTTCACTGAAGATTCTCCTGAACAGCGGACTGCAAGCGCCAAGCAGGACTTTGTGTGCGCGCACTCGGCGCTCGGCGCAGACCAGGGTCACATCAACGAGGGTTTCTGCGTGCAGCAGCGCTTCGAAGGAGCGCAGCAGGTGCGCCTGGTGGTTGTTCCAGCGGAGGCTGTAGTGCTCCTCGCCGCCGACGGCGGTCGGCTTGTCGTCCATCACGCGCGCCGGTGTCCACGCGTATGCAGGAGCCGCGAACAGAACCGCGGCGGGCGCGTGCGCGGCCTCGCGCCGCCCTCCGTCCGTTCGCACCCCTCACTCCAACCCTTTCGTCTCAGTTCGTCTTCCCGCCGGACCGCAATCCTAGCATCACACTCCTTTCGATTTCACAAAACCGTTTGGTCCAAGATCGGAGACACCAAAAGTTTCCAACTGTCAAGCACTGTACGCACACACTGGGTTCAGCACGGTAGCGACGGTAAGGAGACGTCGGGACGGCGGATCTCGCGGCACCACGGAGCGCAGACGTGTGTCGCGGCTGCGAAGCTCGCGCGGAGTGACGGCGGCTGCGGACGGCGCGGAGCGGCGGTGTCGCGCGAGTGCGGTGCGTGCGCGGAGCGTGTGGGGCGGCAGGCGACGGTGGGTCCGCCCCCGGCCCCGCCCCGCCCCACGGCCCCCTCCCGCCGGCCCCTGCGCCGCCCGCACACATGTGTCACATCACCTACATACCGACACATGTGACGCCTACTCCACTCTATGTATTTTTGGAATACCTACACTCCCACTCGTGTCACATTGGTAGATACGGTAAGTCACTGAACGTAAGTGGGACTGTCATACATACACGTTTATTGATAAGATTGTACAATACCTCAGAATTAATCAAGAAATAGAGGAAGGTGAATGAATATTTGCGGTAGCATTTATGACTAACTAAATATAAGTAGACACCAGTCAGTTTTAAAATTTTCTTCAAAACTAACTGATGTCAGTATTCCAGTGGGTAAAGGGTTGAACGCACATTGAATTAACACGCGCATTGAAGAAGTTATACTTCATTTAAAGTAAGGCCCTTTATTATTTACCTTCGCACCATAACTTCCAACAAAAAGTTTCCAAACTTTATAAACTCTGGACACAGTCTACAGATTTCATTCAATGGTGGTTACACAGATATAGTTATGCTGTGGCGTTTTTCGTGTTCTCCGTTGAATTGTAAGGGAAACCGAAAACGTTTCAGTTGTCCATTCACCATTCGCCGCAGTCTAACTAAACTTTGCAGTAGGGATATTAATATTCCATTGTTTGTATAACAGAGTCGTTTAATTCTACTGGTAATAATAGTATTGTTTTTTATACTGTGGCTTTGTGTAATATTACAGTTTCACATACACGACGTCAGACGTTGACTCAGGTTCGTCTTCCAATGGGGGTAGACAGAGACTACGGAAATCCTCTTGCTTACCCTTCTGACACTGTTTGTTATAAAAAAATCGTTATTACCGATGTAATATAATCTGAGTGCGATTAAAAGGTTGGATAATACCTAATTCTATTTAGATGAATAATATGTTTCCCGAGAGTTGTGAATCTTCTTGGACGTGCAAGTAGCAGTAGAGCTCCGTGTGAAAGAATCGTCCAGGGAAGTACTATTTCTGCTGCCAAGCAGTAATGTGAGCATTACTGCGTTCCGTTAAATTACAGGCACATGGGACTTGTCAACTTGGGTCTCAGGATGTAGGGTGCAGTGGCAGTGCTCATCAGATCTTTGTAATTTAAAGCTCTGAGTGTTTTTAAAAGTTTCATCACGTCGTGGTACCTATATTGCCTCTGTGCCCGAGCCGTTACCATACCGGACTGCCACGCAGAGGCGCAGATTCGATTCCCGGGCCGGGAGAAATATTTGTATGGCCTACATTTATTTCTCTCGTGAGTTTGAGTGTAATTTGTGGTTGTCTATGTGTTTGTCCATAGCACCCGCGACACAGGGTTTCCCTAGTGCGGGGCTTTAAAATAAAATTAGGAAAAAAAAAAATTAAGTTTAGTTTCGCATATAAATTTCGAGAATCTCAGAGGTGCGAAGCTGGATTCAAACCCACAGCCTCTGCGTGAGAGGTACTAGGCTACCACAAAATTAAATTAAATTAAATTAAATAGGACTTTATTCATCAAATACACACACACACACACACCGCCAAAGTCAAAGTCAAAGATCATTTATTCCATAGCTAAAATAAATTTACACTTCAAAACGTCACATTTACATTACATTAAGCTATGTACTGCTCATTCACTAAGCTGATTTCCCTGAGAAGAACGAGCAAAAAACTCTAGGGATTGCTCTTTTAAAATAAACTTAAATGGTATGGAATACCTACACTTTGAATCAAATTTGCTTGGATTCTGGAGCCATGTCGTCTTTCCATACATCTTTATCTAACACGTAGTCTTCAACTTTGTAATACAACTATTCAATCAAAATATTTTTAATGTAGTTTTTAAACTTAGGAAATGATAATCTTAATATATGCTCCGGAATCTTATTGTAAAAACGTATACAGTTCCCTATAAAAGAGTCGATTACCTTGGTTAAACGAAATCATGGTACCATGAGTTTGGACTTAGCTCTAAGGTTAATATTATGGATATCTTCTTTCTTATTGAAATGATGTATATTTTTACGGGCATATAAAATATTTGAGTAGATGTGATGCCTCAGTCAAGATATCAGTCAGATATTGGTTTTTTTTTTTTTTTTTTAACACTTATTATACGTGATTTTAGATTGGAAAACATGTACATTTTCAATCTGTAACAGTTGTTAAAACCTACAAACACGATACCAGTTAATAATGTTTTTGAAAATAAAGTCATGACAAAAGAAGATAGAGACAAAAAACCATCGTGTAAAGTCACAAGACAAGTGTAAATTCCCATGTGCATTTCTCGGAAGCGGTAATGTCGTTGTTTAAGGTACCTGTCCGCAATTCCCTTATGGACAAAAGCAATTTTAGGGTAACATTATATACAACACACAGGAGGATATGACGTCATAGAGTTTTTCATGCAGCTTCGCGTGAGCGAGAGATTAGCTTGAGGTCTGGGGTTCGCGATACAATTTTGGTAACGTTCTCTAAAAAAGGTGTCTTTTTTACAATATCAGATAACGGGACGAACAAGTCGTGCGCCTGATGGTAAGCGACACGACTGTCCATAGCAGTTGCTGTATCATTTACAGCTTTAAACCACAAAGATCTTAGGGGCACTGCCACAGCGCCCGACACCCTGAGACATAAGTTGACAAGTCCCACGTGCCTGTAATTTCACCAGCACAAGAGTAAGCTCTTCAAAACCGGAACACAGTAATGCTGACATTACTGCTTGGCGGCAGAAATAGTTTAGGTGGCAGTACTTACCTGGACGAACCCTTTCACGAGGAGCTCTAATGGTAGGTACTGAATATACAACGCACAGGAGGATATGACGTCATAGGGGTTTTTATGCTGCATCTCGGTGGCCGAGAGATTGGCTTGAGAGCTCGAGTTCGAGATACAATTTAGGTAACGTTCTTTGAAACAGGTGTTCACGAGTTGATTTCGCTATTCTAGTACTCATAGAAAGGGAATTAGAGACAATGTAATTAGTGTGACTGTAAGGCACTTAAAAAAATATGTAATTACATTAAGTAATTAGTTAATAATCAGTGATATACTTATAGAGTATAAATATTAGACAACGTCACATACATTGCTCGGATTCCAAAGTAAGTAACTAAAACACTTGTGTTATGGAAATCGGAAACAACAACTGTACCTACCACAAATACCCAGATCCGAGACAACATAGAAAAATTAGTTTTTCTACAATTATCATTACAATAACTAAATTAATTGTCTAAATGTTGACATTTGTGCCTGCATTTGTATATTATTTTGACGTTATTCATCATTGACTTACAAATTATTTTGACATCTATTATAGTTACCATTAAAATTGACCCATTTATAACTATCACCGCGTTTTACCGATGCTACCCATAGCTTTGAAAGGTAAGTATAAGGGTGCTAGTAAAATTACAGGCACATGGGATTTGTCAACTTACGTATCAGGGTGATGCGCGCAGTGGTAGTGCCCCTCAGATCTTTGCGATTTAAAGCTCTGTGTGGCACTGCAACATGAACTGGCGTGTCGCGTGCCACAGGTGTACGTCGTGTTCGTCCCGTAACTTGGTATCATAAAAAAACCCAAATGACGACACGAAAATGACGCCACGAGATTACCTGTAAAGTAAACCGCACCTTCTACGCTTGGTTTTGGGTGTGCGTGAGAAGTTTTCATTTCAAAGACAAACTCCAAGTTTGCTTGTCGTTGTTGGTCAGTGTTCGCTGTACAAACTTTGCAACTTTTATGAAGTCGTGTGGAGTATTGATAGTGTTAGCGAACTTGGGAGTTGATTTTTATTGGTACTTGTTTTATACTTGGTTTATTTTTAGAATTAGAAAAAATTATAAACAAAGAAGCAGTGATCGTAAACCTTTTTCTTCAGTCAATAAATTACAGAGAAGGAAAACATGGTGAGAATCGCTGACAATTAATGACATCTAGAAATAACACGATAATGTTATTATGTTGTTATTAGTATTATTAATACAAACATCGAAAGATCATTAACTACTGGTCAAATTAAGCAGTGCTTTGTGCATGTTCGGATTTTAATTTTTATATTTAATATTTTAATTATCTATCAATATTTCGAAATTCATTGCAATGGCACTAACATAGCTTTAACGTTTTCTTTTATAACTAACACCATTATCTTATGGAATGGCCTGAAATAAATGATTTTATTATTATTATTATAAATACCATCAAAAGAAGGGCACTGGAGTATGTGGGTCATACATACTGAGAAACCCAAAGTACGATCTATTATAATTAATAATCCAAGGCAAAATACAAGGAAAGAGAAGTGTAGGATGAAGAAAGATTATTATATATTTCTCCTGAAAAGTTGTCATTTTGCAGATGTGGCTTTATTACATCAAGGGTGCAATTTATCTCTCGTCTCCGCCTGCTTACGTACCTAGCTTACGGCCAAAAACCGCAAGCGGTCTATAAATAACCTTTATTAGAAGATGGCACTTGAAGAACAAGAATAAATTTCATGTCTCTCCTAGAGTTATACAAATTTCTTCTTCTTTAAGCATAAAAAACTACCGATCTATTTCGTTCGTAGAATCTTAAAACGTCTCTCCTGAAAAATTGTCATTTTGCAGATGTGCCTTTATTACATCAAGGGTGCAATTTATCTTTCGTCTCCGCCTGCTTACATACCTGGCTTACGGCCAAAAATCGTAAACGGTCTATACATAACCAATAACAGCCTGTCTTACTACGTATATCAGTTATGCAGTATTCCAAAGGTAAATGAGCAATAACCCTAGTAATAAAATAAAGCACAGGAAACGTACAGCCTTGGAAGTTTTATGGCGTCATACAAACCGGTATGAACACCACACACCGAACGTTACAGGTAATGTTTACAT